GTTAGGGTTAGGGTAGTAGATCTACCACTTCCATTCGGATGATATAAATTAATTTAATTTATGGCCGACATTGCAAAACCGTAGTAATTAATTATAAAGAAATAGATCTGACACTTACTTAAACTAATAGAATAGAGTATCCGTCCTCTACACACAAGAAGAAATATAAAACACACACGAGACTGATCGAAACTGTCATCTTTACCGAAACCATGGACGAGGACACTATGGCGTCTTCCGTTATGAATGGTCTAAGTACGGGGCAAGGTCAAGGGTTAGCGTCTTATTTTTTTTATTTTTTTTTATTCATTTTAAATTTGACACTTAGTTCAAAAATTCTACATTATCTTAGAAGTCAAAAACGTCTAAATTTTCGAAAAAGTCTAGTCTTCAGGTTTGATGTTATTTTTTATTCATTTTAAATTTGGCGCTTGTCCACTACAAATTAAAGGTATACAACTCTAACTACCCTAAACTCCGTAAAATTAACTTGGTTGTTTCCCCTGGTCATGATTTACGGTTGTATCTGTTTTATTATTTACCAAAATAGTAAATACAAGCAATATTAAGTGAAAGCTTCAAAAACAAGATAGTCACAAAGTAAGCTTAGTAGAGACAGAAAAAAAATGGAAATGGTATTCAAGGATTAGAATTTAGAGTCATTGAAATAAAAAAAAATGTAGGAACAGTGTTCGTTAAAATTAAAGGTATACAACTCCAGCTAACCTAAACTTCGTACAATTAACTTGGTTGTTTCCCCTGCTAAAGATTCGTACTAAATTATTACAAAAATAAAAGTGGAATATAAACATTGATTGAAACCTTTGATAATAATTTAGTATTCTAATTTTAGACAATAACATAATAAGTTTTCAGATAGTGTAGGCCTTAAATTTAATATAGTAATATTTTTACATATATTAAGATCTCTACTCTAGTAACACAGCACAATCCATGTAGATCTAGATCTATATCTATATTAGTATATCAACTGTAGCCTACTGTTGTGAACACACGGACACGCCAGTGGCGTAGCTACCGTAAAGCTAGCGTAAGCAAGGCATAGGAGCCCACGGCATTTGGGGGCCCCTTTTCCCTCTTAAAATAAACCGGGAGTGATCTCCCCTAAACTTTCTATGGAACTTGCTAATTTGGGGTAAAAAATTAATTTGAAAGAATATGCATATTCGCGTAAGTTTACCTTTTTAAATATGTCTTTCATTCTCCATAATTTATAAGGTGCCTAAATAACTGAGATGGTAGTCTACGTAATAACCACACCTAACCCTAACCCTAAATAACTGAGATGGTAGTCTACGTAATAACCACACAGGGGGTGCGGAATCGAGACACACCAAGTCAAACTTATTTTTTTATTTTTTTTTATATGTGAATCTTCCGATTTCAGGCTATAAAGAAAGGAACTACTTCATTCAAATTTGATATAGATCTATAGATGTACTCATAAAGACGTACGCTATGAAATATATACAATTTTATCGATCAAACTAATACAAATTACTTAAAAACAACATAATGACCATTGAATAGCCAGACTTTTAACGGAATCATTTAAGTCACTTAATCAGCGTGTGCCTGTGTTATGTTAAATGTGTCGGATTTTTAGCTAATTAGTTATTTCTTTGCTTTGTCACTAATATCGTTCAGCGTGTAGTAAAGCACATTGCGTTTTGACCAATAACTATTTCATAAATTATTTTTCTTAAACAAGTACATTTTAAAATAAAAATATATAGGTCTATAATTCACGTGAAACGGGTACCGATGGCTAGTTATCAATGTTCTGCATTCACCAACATTAAAACAAGTTAATAAAAAGTCTAGTGACAATTTAAGCGCAATTTCCTTATAACGAGCGACGCGTAGCTCGCCTCTCTCTCTGTCTTGCCGAGCGCAGTGACGCGAACGACCCCACGTCGCGACAGGCTAGCCTCCCGTATCAGTCGAAATTATCACAAAGACGTAAAATGCTGGGTTGCGTTCAAGCTAGGAGAACGATCGGTAAAAATTCTTAATTAATTTTTTGTGACCGAACGAAAGGATATTTTTGAAAACTTTCTTCGGCAATATTGTTCTTAATTATGGCAGAAATCGATTGGTAAATTTTCAATTCGCTAAGTGGTCTGGTTGCCGAGATATGGAGCAAAAACTGCATTTGTTCGAGGTTTTTTTTTGGCTTTTTCGGGAAATCCAGGAAGGAATTCCGGGAATTTTTTGGCCCACAATCATCCTTGGAACTTGCTTAACATATTTGCTTTTGGAACTAGTCCTCGATATTGCTTCGTTTAGGAGGAGATACCACTTAAAGCTGCGGACACACATCCATCCATCCATACATACATCCATACATCCATCCATACATCCATCCATCCAGAAATGACGAGTTAATAATCGCAATTGTCCGTATGGAAATTGCGTTAAAAATGTTTTAATGTGTTATAGCATATGTGCAATCCCCAATAGCTTTAACATTTACAAGAAGACACAATTTCTAAAAGTAATTGAACAAACATTGTTCATTGATTTGTTTTTACACTGTTATGTCACCAATTAGAACTATTATCTTCAGATTTAGGCAGAGGCGTAGCGAGGGGGGGGGGACCGCACCGGGTGACATCATTTAGGGGGTGACACCAAGGCAAAAAATAGCAAAATATACAGAGAAAATTTGAGGGGGGGGGGGTGCAAATCGAAAGTTTGAGGGGGGTGCAAATCGAAAGTTTGAGGGGGGTGCAAATCGAAAATTGAAATTTGTCCCCGGGAAGGGTCGCTACGCCTCTGGTGGTGACACCCGGCCTCGCTAAGCCACTGGATTTAGGGTCAGGTATTTATGTTCGGATTTAGGGTTAGGCATTTATCTTCGAACTTAGGGTTAGGAATTTATTAAATAAAATAAAAATAAAATGAATATAAAAATAAAATAAAATGAACATGAAATAAAAATAAAATAAAATAAAAATTTAAAAAATGAAAATAAAATAAAAAAGAAATAAAATAACCCTAAAATAAAATCAAATAAAATCAAGTAAACTTTAAAAAATTAAATTAAAATTAAATTTAAAAAAAATGAAAAGAAAAAAAAACTCAATGAAAATTAAAAAAACAAATAAAATGAAAATAAAATAAAAATTAAACTGAATTAAAATAAAATAAAATTGAAAGAAAAAAAAGTAAATTTAAAAAATATATAATGGAAAATAAAATAACCCCAACCCTAACCTTAACCCTAACACACAGACTAACTGGCTAAAATTGCAAAAAAAAAAAATCGCACCATAACAATGAATCCTTTGTGTTCCGTATACAATAAAGTAGGGAGGTGTAAAACGGCGAAAACTGTCAAAATATATTCAGCACGATTACAATACTTCCTGTATACCCTGTAATTAAAGTGGGAGTCATCATCATCATCTTTCCTTTGTGTCCCCTGGGGAGCATTGTTAGGGTTAGGGTTAGCACTAAGGGCTGCCACTACACATTTCCAGCGGACTCGGTTTTAGGTTAGGGTTAGGGTTAGCCCTAAGGGCTGCCACTACACATTTCCAGCGGACTCGGTTTTGGGCTGCTCCCTCTGTGCCCATGTGAGCCTAGCTGTTTTAGCCTCTTTCTATACCGTTCTTTTCCGTGTTTTCTTTGGCCGGCCCACTTTCCTTTACCCCGAATCTAATATATAATGCTCAATTCTGTATGTAAAAATAAGTTTGTTTGTCGTTGACATACTTCGATGGATTTAAGTGTTAGACTATTATCGTGCTCATAGTCTAAATTTATGAGTTAAAAAATTAGCCTACTATTGAAAGTGTTGGGAAATAATTTTCATTTTTCAAACTGATAGTAATAATTGTCGGCATGTTCATTAAACATAATTTTAAAAAAATAACAAAAATTCTAATTATTTTACGAATAAGCTTGGAGTATTATAATTGTTCATTTGGTTTGGTTTGGCACCTACGTTCGTTTAAGTGAGTGCAAAAGTCTATGAATAAGTTGGGGTACTGTAGTCGATTATTAAGCTGAAACAGGCGATTCTGCCCCGGGCTAGACTGTGAGCACTTTGCGTTTATATTCGCGTTAGTGTTTTCTTTGTGTTTAGGTTGGGTTTGCGTTAATGGTTGCGTTTTGATTTGGTTCGTTTTTGTTCTTTCTATTTTCGTTTTCGTTTGTGTTTTTTTCTTTGGGTTTGTGTTTATATTTGTGTTTGTGGTTGGTTTTGCGTTTGGATTTGGTTTGTTTTCGTTTGCTTTTTCGTTTGTTTTTTTCTTTGTGTTCGTATTGGTGTTTGTGGTTGTGGTTGGGTTTGTTGTTAGGTTTTGTTTTCGTTTGCTTTTTTGTTTGTTTTTTCTTTGTATTTGTATTGGTGTTTGTGATTGTGGTTGGGTTTGTTGTTAAGTTTTTGTTTTCGTTTGTATTTGTAATTGTGTTAGCGTTATGTTTGCGTTTTGTTGTTTTGGTTGGTTGTGGTTTGGGTGGGCAATGCCGGGTTTATGATGATTACTAAACACACAGGTAACGGTCTTTAACAGAAAGGTTTTTCACAGAAGCCAGAGCAGGGCCTGGCCGGGACGGCTAGTATTCTTCTAAAGGGGATGGCAACTCCCTCGCGATATGGACAAGTTTTAAAAAAATCATTTTTTTTAATGATTCAATTTTTTAAATGGAATAGAATCACGTAAAATTGAATTGTACACAAAATGAGCAGCAAACAGTTTGTGTATGATAGTGCGGAACCTTTGTATTTTCAAAGAGTTAATTAATAATTTAATTAATATTTTAAGTCACAATACATTGTCTTCTAATCTTGACCTACATGAGTAGTTTGAAATAAATAGGTCCGGTAGAAAAGTTATAAATTTTGCTCGCAAGTTTCCGATCATGAAGAACGGAAATCGGAATTAGCCTAAAGTACGATTCCCACTCATCGGAAATTAATTAAAAAGTTTGACACAAAACATAGAACTAGAGCTTTTACTATGTAAAATTTCGTCTTTCTATGGTTAGGCTTTCTAGGCTATTGAAAAACCGAAAGTAGAATAAGTACCACTTCCGCTTACTGGAAATCGATGAAAATTTGATATAGAATTACATATTTGATATGATACCTAAATTTCGTCTACCTATCTGTAATGGTTCACAAGTTATCATGTCCACAGGCAGACAACAAACGGACAAAATTGCAAAACTAAGTTTTTCCGACTCAGGGTGGTATAAAACATCGTGATTTGTGAAAATCTCGATTTCGATTTTTCGTACGATGAGAATACTTCCTCTATAATTCGTATACGAGAAAGTAAAACGGGTGTTTAAATATGCTGATGAAAGTAAAAGTAAAACGACAATGATACCGTTTGTAACTGTTTATGATGCATGTAAAGAATATTATTAAATGTTGTATATTTTATGGCAAATATAAATGAATTTATAATTTTAATTAATAAATAATGTTAAACGTGTTCAAATAAAATATCAAATTATAGTTTAGCTTTATGCAAGTCACAGTAGTATTTATATAGCACCTAAACCTATCTATTGATTTAAATGTACAGCACATAAACCTTTCTATTGATCTAAATCAGAGGGTCTCCAAACTACGGCCCGCGGGCCGAATGCGGCCCGCGAGGTCCTCTCATCTTTTTGTCCACGGAAAAGATTTTTGTTGGAGGTGGCTGAGGAACTTTGCCAAAAAAAAAAAATTCAAAACAATTTGAAAATGTATCTTTGGGTGCAACTATCATTGCTTGCCGTGTGGCAGACATTGGTGAAAACATCGTGACTCAAATAGCAAAAAATGCAAGCAAGTTAAGCCATTTTTAATTGCAATGGATTAGTCGCTGGACAGCTGTTCCACCTCTCAACTGCTTTTGTTCATTAGAGGTGTAAATGAAGACATTAACATAACACAAGAGCCGGCTTCCCTACATAGCATGTATGTCACTTTTACCGGAGAGGGTATATTCAACGAGTTTTTAAAAAATGCGATTATAACTTGGACTGGACTAACCTCAGCTGAATGTTGATGGAGGAAAGTACATGAGTAGCATAAAGAAAGGCTTAGGACTGGACTAACCTCAGCTGAATGTTGATGGAGGAAAGTACATGAGTGGCACAAAGAAAGGCTTAGGACTGGACTAACCTCAGCTGAATGTTGATGGAGGAAAGTACATGAGTGGCATAAAGAAAGGCTTAGGACTGGACTAACCTCAGCTGAATGTTGATGGAGGAAAGTACATGAGTGGCATAAAGAAAGGCTTAGGACTGGACTAACCTCAGCTGAATGTTGATGGAGGAAAGTACATGAGTAGCATAAAGAAAGGCTTAGGACTGGACTAACCTCAGCTGAATGTTGATGGAGGAAAGTACATGAGTGGCATAAAGAAAGGCTTAGGACTGGACTAACCTCAGCTGAATGTTGATGGAGGAAAGTACATGAGTGGCATAAAGAAAGGCTTAGGACTGGACTAACCTCAGCTGAATGTTGATGGAGGAAAGTACATGAGTGGCATAAAGAAAGGCTTAGGACTGGACTAACCTCAGCTGAATGTTGATGGAGGAAAGTACATGAGTGGCATAAAGAAAGGCTTAGGACTGGACTAACCTCAGCTGAATGTTGATGGAGGAAAGTACATGAGTGGCATAAAGAAAGGCTTAGGACTGGACTAACCTCAGCTGAATGTTGATGGAGGAAAGTACATGAGTAGCATAAAGAAAGGCTTAGGACTGGACTAACCTCAGCTGAATGTTGATGGAGGAAAGTACATGAGTGGCATAAAGAAAGGCTTAGGACTGGACTAACCTCAGCTGAATGTTGATGGAGGAAAGTACATGAGTGGCATAAAGAAAGGCTTAGTTGGACAAGCGAATGTCCCTGCACTGTATTATTCACCAGCAAGCTTTGTGTGCTAAATATATGGACATTAGCAGTGTACTGAATTCTGTGGTGAAGATGGTGAAATTAAGAAGGCCACAAAGGTTCAATAATAGATAGTTCAGAGACATGTTGAAAGATACAAACACAGAAACGCAGCATTTACCATATTATACAACAGTAAGATGGTTAAATTGTGGGAAAGTTCTGAGCAGAGTATTTAAGTTAAGCAGGGAAATAGGTTACTTCCTGAAAAGTAAAGGGAAGCCACAACCATTACTATATGATGAAGAGTGGGTATAGAAATTGACCTTTGCTGCAGTCATAACTGTTCGTTTAAATTTTCTGAATCTAAGACTACAAGGAGAGTAAAATCTAGTTTCTGTTTTATACACCCACATAAAGGCCTTCAGATCCAAACGGGTCTTGTTTTCGGAACAAATACAGGCCAACAACTTGACGCTCTTTCGGGAGTGCAAGGTCTTCATGGCTAAAGCAACAGCTGAATCACTTGCTTATGAGATAATCAAGGACCTCCAGCTGCAGTTTCGTCAACTCGAAAAAAACTTCCTAGAAGAAACTCTGGCCCCCAACCTGATATTTTATAGTTAATGCGGCCCTCGGGCTGAAAATTTTGGAGACCCCTGATCTAAATGTACAGCACAAATTGGTTAGCATTAGATTTAGTTGAACAAGTTTCTTGGCTCAAAATTTGCTAACAGACTCTCCCTTGGTCAGATAATTTACGCCTGTTGTCTGCCTAGAAATCTTTATCGGTTGCTCTTTCTCTGTTTTGATAATTTTTGCAGCGATAAAGAAAAAGATCGGGCCCGCCAAGATAGAGAGCGAACCGGCAGCAACATCCAGACCAAAGCACCAAGCAAACTCTAGCACCGAGTCGTATTCCTGTATCTCTCGGGCTCGCTGGGCCGCGTTAGCCGCTCGCTGGAAGTAGATGTTGTTGATGTTGTAGACGTCAAGGTTGGCGTAGAAATCGATCGAGCTCTGGGCAGCCAGGACTATATCAGAGCTGAGTATCAGCACACCTGCATCGTTAAATAGGTACATTTTTTGGGTCACAATAACAGGTAAAAAAAATTTCATCTTATACTAGAACTTATATTATTCTAACCCTAAATTCTATTATTCTAACCGTAACCCTAATGCTAAAACTTCTATTATTCTAACCCTAACCCTAATACTAAAACTTCTATTATTCTAACCCTAACCCTAATACTAAAACTTCTATTATTTTAACCCTAACCCTAATACTAAAACTTCTATTATTTTAACCCTAACTTCTATTATTGAGACATTTGACCAACATTGTTAAAAATTTCTGTCGTACAAAGCTTCGTTTTTAAAGTGAGTTTTCACGATCCTAACCCTAACCCAATTTTTCAGGTTTCCAAATTATTTCCAATTCTTGGTAGAAATACACACGGAAAGGAAAATATCGTCTTACATAACCCTAACCCTCATTAAACGCTTTTCTCAATACTCTAAATATAATAAATATAAACAGCAAACTTGAACTTGAACCCATTTCAATTTAAATAATTTGCAACTGTCTATTTCCGGTAGTTCATACAAAATTTTTTGTGCTAAGAATATCGACGATTTTCATTGACTTTATAAGGCTATCATTTGGATCTAATGGAATTTTTTTAAAACTAATTTTATTACAGAAAGGGTGTATTATAAATATAACGATTAATGTTATATTACACAATCTACAAACTTTAGAATATGATGTCAACAAACTAACAGACTTTTAAGTCTTTTAAAAGTTTGTTTAGATTTCCAATAACTAGACAAACTATAGACTAAAGTCAAACCAACAAAAATACTTTCATATAGATATGACATTGATAGATGTTTTCAAAAATTATTCGGAATACAGAGAAGGTTTTATGGAGAAGGATTTATGGAGAATGTTTTATGGAGAAGGTTTTATGGAGAAGGTTTTATGGAGAAGGTTTTATGGAGAAGGTTTTATGGAGAAGGTTTTATGGAGAAGGTTTTATGGAGAAGGTTTTATGGAGAAGGTTTCTTTAAGGTTTTATGGAGAAGGTTTTATGGAGGTTTTATGGAGAAGGTTTTATGGAGAAGGTTTTATGGAGAAGGTTTTATGGGGAAGGTTTTATGGAGGTTTTATGGAGAAGGTTTTATAGAGAAGGTTTTATGGAGAAGGTTTTATGGAGGTTTTATGGAGAAGGTTTTATGGAGGTTTTATGCAGAAGGTTTTATGGAGAAGGTTTTATGGAGAAGGTTTTATTGAGGTTTTATGGAAAAGGTTTTATGGAGAAGGTTTCATTAAGGTTTTATGGAGGTTTTATGGAGAAGGTTTTATGGAGAAGGTTTTATGGAGAAGGTTTTATGGAGGTTTTATGGAGGTTTTATGGAGAAGGTTTTATGGAGGTTTTATGGAGGTTTTATGGAGGTTTTATGGAGAAGGTTTTATGGAGAAGGTTTTATGGAGAAGGTTTTATGGAGGTTTTATGGAGAAGGTTTTATGGAGAAGGTTTTATGGAGGTTTTATGGAGAAGGTTTTATGGAGGTTTTATGGAGAAGGTTTTATGGAGAAGGTTTTATGGAGAAGGTTTTATGGAGTAGGTTTTATAGAGAAGGTTTTATGGAGAAGGTTTTATGGAGAATGTTTTAGGGAGAAGGTTTTATGGAGAAGGTTTTATGGAGAAGGTTTTATAGAGAAGGTTTTATGGAGAAGGTTTTATGGAGGTTTTATGGAGAAGGTTTTATGGAGAAGGTTTTATGGAGAAGGTTTTATGGAGAAGGTTTTATGGAGAAGGTTTTATGGAGAAGGTTTTATGGAGAAGGTTTTATGGAGAAGGTTTTATGGAGAAGGTTTTAGGGAGAAGGTTTTATGGAGGTTTTATGGAGAAGGTTTTATGGAGGTTTTATGGAGAAGGTTTTATGGAGAAGGTTTAATGGAGAAGGTTTTATGGAGAAGGTTTTATAAAGGTTTTATGGAGAAGTTTTCATGAAGGTTTAATGGAGAAGGTTTTATGGAGAAGGTTTTATGGAGGTTTTATGGAGGTTTTATGGAGAAGGTTTTATGGAGAAGGTTTTATGGAGAAGGTTTTATGGAGAAGGTTTTATAAAGGTTTTATGGAGAAGTTTTCATGAAGGTTTTATGGAGAAGGTTTTATGGAGAAGGTTTTATGGAGGTTTTATGGAGGTTTTATGGAGAAGGTTTTATGGAGAAGGTTTTATGGAGAAGGTTTTATGGAGAAGGTTTTATGGAGAAGGTTTTATGGAGAAGGTTTTATGGAGGTTTTATGGAGAAGGTTTTATGGAGAAGGTTTTACGGAGAAGGTTTTATGGAGAAGGTTTTATGGAGAAGGTTTTATGGAGAAGGTTTTATGGAGAAGGTTTTATGGAGAAGGTTTTATGGAGAAGGTTTAATAGAGAAGGCTTTATGGAGAAGGTTTTAGGGAGAAGGTTTTATGGAGAAAGTTTCATGAAGGTTTTATGGAGAAGGTTTTATGGAGAAGGTTTTATGGAGAAGGTTTTAGGGAGAAGGTTTTATGGAGAAGGTTTCATGAAGGTTTTATGGAGAAGGTTTTATGGAGAAGGTTTTATGGAGAAGGTTTTATGGAGAAGGTTTTATGGAGAAGGTTTTATAAAGGTTTTATGGAGAAGGTTTTATGGTGGTTTTATGGAGAAGGTTTTATGGAGAAGGTTTTATGGAGAAGGTTTTATGGAAAAGGTTTTATGAAGGTTTTATGGAGGTTTTATGGAGAAGGTATTATGGAGAAGGTTTTATGGAGAAGGTTTTATGGAGAAGGTTTTATGGAGAAGGTTTTATGGAGGTTTTATGGAGAAGGTTTTATGGAGAATGTTTTATGGAGAAGGTTTTATGGAGAAGGTTTTATGGAGGTTTTATGGAGAAGGTTTTATGGAGAAGGTTTTATGGAGAAGGTTTTATAAAGGTTTTATGGAGAAGGTTTTATGGTGGTTTTATGGAGAAGGTTTTATGGAGAAGGTTTTATGGAGAAGGTTTTATGGAAAAGGTTTTATGAAGGTTTTATGGAGGTTTTATGGAGAAGGTATTATGGAGAAGGTTTTATGGAGAAGGTTTTATGGAGAAGGTTTTATGGAGAAGGTTTTATGGAGGTTTTATGGAGAAGGTTTTATGGAGAATGTTTTATGGAGAAGGTTTTATGGAGAAGGTTTTATGGAGGTTTTATGGAGAAGGTTTTATGGAGAAGGTTTTATGGAGAAGGTTTAATAGAGAAGGCTTTATGGAGAAGGTTTTAGGGAGAAGGTTTTATGGAGAAAGTTTCATGAAGGTTTTATGGAGAAGGTTTTATGGAGAAGGTTTTATGGAAAAGGTTTTAGGGAGAAGGTTTTATGGAGAAGGTTTCATGAAGGTTTTATGGAGAAGGTTTTATGGAGAAGGTTTTATGGAGAAGGTTTTATGGAGAAGGTTTTATGGAGAAGGTTTTATGGAGGTTTTATGGAGAAGGTTTTATGGAGAAGGTTTTATGGAGAAGGTTTTATGGAAAAGGTTTTATGAAGGTTTTATGGAGGTTTTATGGAGAAGGTTTTATGGAGAAGGTTTTATGGAGAAGGTTTTATGGAGAAGGTTTTATGGAGAAGGTTTTATGGAGAAGGTTTTATGGAGAAGGTTTTATGGAGAAGGTTTTATGGAGAAGGTTTTATGGAGGTTTTATGGAGAAGGTTTTATGGAGGTTTTATGGAGAAGGTTTTATGGAGAAGGTTTTATGGAGAAGGTTTTATGGAGAAGGTTTTATGGAGAAGGTTTTATGGAGAAGGTTTTATGGAGAAGGTTTTATGGAGAAGGTTTTATGGAGGTTTTATTGAGGTTTTATGGAAAAGCTTTTATGGAGAAGGTTTTATGGAGGTTTTATGGAGAAGGTTTTATGGAGAAGGTTTTATAAAGGTTTTATGGAGAAGGTTTTATGGTGGTTTTATGGAGAAGGTTTTATGGAGAAGGTTTTATGGAGAAGGTTTTATGGAAAAGGTTTTATGAAGGTTTTATGGAGGTTTTATGGAGAAGGTATTATGGAGAAGGTTTTATGGAGAAGGTTTTATGGAGAAGGTTTTATGGAGAAGGTTTTATGGAGGTTTTATGGAGAAGGTTTTATGGAGAAGGTTTTATGGAGAAGGTTTTATGGAGAAGGTTTTATGGAGGTTTTATGGAGAAGGTTTTATGGAGAAGGTTTTATGGAGAAGGTTTAATAGAGAAGGCTTTATGGAGAAGGTTTTAGGGAGAAGGTTTTATGGAGAAAGTTTCATGAAGGTTTTATGGAGAAGGTTTTATGGAGAAGGTTTTATGGAGAAGGTTTTATGGAAAAGGTTTTAGGGAGAAGGTTTTATGGAGAAGGTTTCATGAAGGTTTTATGGAGAAGGTTTTATGGAGGTTTTATGGAGAAGGTTTTATGGAGAAGGTTTTATGGAGAAGGTTTTATGGAAAAGGTTTTATGAAGGTTTTATGGAGGTTTTATGGAGAAGGTTTTATGGAGAAGGTTTTATGGAGAAGGTTTTATGGAGAAGGTTTTATGGAGAAGGTTTTATGGAGAAGGTTTTATGGAGAAGGTTTTATGGAGGTTTTATGGAGAAGGTTTTATGGAGAAGGTTTTATGGAGAAGGTTTTATGGAGGTTTTATGGAGAAGGTTTTATGGAGAAGGTTTTATGGAGGTTTTATGGAGAAGGTTTTATGGAGAAGGTTTTATGGAGAAGGTTTTATGAAGGTTTTATGGAGAAGGTTTTATGGAGAAGGTTTTATGGAGAAGGTTTTATGGAGAAGGTTTTATGGAGGTTTTATTGAGGTTTTATGGAAAAGGTTTTATGGAGAAGGTTTTATGGAGGTTTTATGGAGAAGGTTTTATGGAGAAGGTTTTATGGAGAAGGTTTTATGGAGAAGGTTTTATGGAGGTTTTATGGAGGTTTTATGGAGAAGGTTTTATGGAGAAGGTTTTATGGAGGTTTTATGGAGGTTTTATGGAGAAGGTTTTATGGAGAATGTTTTTGGTTTGTCTTTAGTTTTGTTTAGAAAGGAAAATAGAAGCTTGTCAGTTCCCATACATTGAACTGACACAGTAGGTAACAGGAAGTCTAGGTAAGTCTAGGTAACAGAAAGTCCAGGTAGGTCTATGTAACATTAAGTCAAGGTAGGTCTAGGTAAGCTGTAAGACACGGGAGCTGTAAGACACGGGAGCTGTAAGACATGGGGCCTGTAAGACATGGGAGCTGTAAGACATGGGGCCTGTAAGACATGGGAGCTGTAAGACATGGGAGCTGTAAGACATGGGAGCTGTAAGACATGGGAGCTGTAAGACATGGGGCCTGTAAGATATGGGAGCTGTAAGACATGGGAGCTGTAAGACATGGGAGCTGTAAGACATGGGGCCTGTAAGACATGGGAGCTGTAAGACATGGGAGCTGTAAGACATGGGGCCTGTAAGACATGGGAGCTGTAAGACATGGGAGCTGTAAGACATGGGAGCTGTAAGACATGGGAGCTGTAAGACATGGGAGCTGTAAGACATGGGAGCTGTAAGACATGGGAGCTGTAAGACACGGGAGCTGTAAGACATGGGAGCTGTAAGACATGGGAGCCGTAAGACATGGGAGCTGTAAGGCATGGGAGCTGTAAGACATGGGAGCTGTAAGATATGGGGCCTGTAAGACATGGGAGCTGTAAGACATGGGGCCTGTAAGACATGGGAACTGTAAGACATGGGGCCTGTAAGACATGGGAGCTGTAAGACATGGGAGCTGTAAGACACGGGAGCTGTAAGACATGGGGCCTGTAAGACATGGGAGCTGTAAGTCTCGATTATTTTAAAAAAAGGGCAGAATCACTGACTAAAGAAGGAATTTTAAGTTATTCGTTGTCATTTCACCATTCGAAAATGCATTGTTTTATCAAATAAACAGACAAATAAAAAACCCTAACTCTAATGAAGCAACTAAAAATCACCTCCAATGACGGTACTCAGTGTTGTGATGTAGACGAAGACATGTCGACATTTCTTCATAGACGTGACCAACCAGGCTAGAGCAGTGAAGACAGAAGCCTCAGCCAAAATAACCCCAACCACAGATAGCACTTGGCAGGATATTATCCAGTCTTAGAGATGATATGGGTCATGGTAAGGATATAGTATCAAGTCTACAAGCTAATATGCGTTATGGTAAATATAGTATCCAATCTTAAAGATAATATGGGTTATGGAAAAGACATTATCCAGTCTACAAGATAAAATGGGTTAGGGTTAGATCATGATTCACGTTAAGACAAAACCATTTGATCGAATCTACGAGAAAACAATCCTAATATATAAAAGACCATGTGCGCACTTCTCTCTCTCTCTCTCTCTCTCTCTGTCCGCAAAATATTTTCACATGATATTAGATCAGTATCCTCGGTGAGTTATGGAAAACTTGATACAAACTTTTGTTGAACATGATATGGTAGATGTTTTAATGTATAAACTAAGTTTTATCTAAAGAAGGAAAATAAAAATAAAGGTGTATTCGAATATAGAAACACACTTTTTATTATACAACCGGAAAGTCTTTATAGTTGTGACAAGAACGCCGAAATTGATGACGACACATGTTTGAAGTACGGAAAGTACACAAAACCAATGGCGTCATCTGCCAATCTTAGAATATGAAGAAATTGGGAGCCGGACGTTTTCCCGAAAGACACTAGCCCGAATGCCGTTTGCCCGAAGGCCGATTTCCCGAATGGACACTTGCCTGAATGCGACAAATGCCCGAATGGACACTTGTCCGAATGCGACAAACGCCCGAATGAACACTTTCCCGAATGCGACAAATGATACTTATCGAGACGTAATATATGAAATTTATACAATTTTCTCGGCCAAGACTAATACAAATTACTTAAAAAAACAACACAAATACCATACGGAATCATCTAAGTCTTTTAATCAGTGTGTGCCTTTAATATGGTTATGTGTTGACTAAGAATGTATATAATTTGGGGTTATTTTTACTTTCTCGTATATACGAAGTATAGAGAAAGTCTTGTAATTGTACCACAAAATAATCAAGTTTTTTGCAATTCTCGACTTTTTAGGGCTCCCTGAGTCGGAAAAACATAGTTTTGCAATCTTGTCCGTATGTCTGTGTGTGTGTATGTGTGTATGTGTGTCTGTGTGTGTGTGTAAACACGATAACTTGAGTACCGTTAAAGCTAGGTTGATGAAATTTCATATGTAAGTATTATATCAAAATTGTAGATCCGTATCAACTTTTGAGCGATTTCCGATAACCGGAAGTATAACTTTTTCTACTTTGAATTTTTCAAAAGCCTATAACTTGAGTACTTTCAGATAGATAAATGAAATTTCACATGTTAGTAAAAGTTCTAATTCTCTGCCTTCTATCAAATTTTGAGTAATTTCCGTCGACAGGAAGTTGTAATTAACGCTATTTCCGATTTCTCAAAAAACGCATGTGAATTTATAAAATACTAATAATATCCCGCACTATTATGCACATTTTATTTGGCGTTCACTTGGTGTGCAATTCTTTTTTTACGAGATTCTATTCATTTATAAAAAGTTTAAGTAATTAAAAGTGGATTAAAAATATTATCTATGTCCCGAGTTGCCATTCCCCGTAGTGTTATAAGAATATTCGAGAAAGTTTAGGGGAGATCCCTCCCGGTTTATTTCTAGTAGGTATTAGAAACCAATGTTAATTTAAAGGTGTCGGATTTTTAGCTGTTAGTTGTGTTAGGGTTATGATCATACTAGTGTGTAAACTATGGCTAGGGTTATGATCATACTAGTGTGTAAACCAGTTGTGTTAGGGTTATGATCATACTAGTGTGTAAACTAGTTGTGTTAGGGTTATGATCATAGTAGTGTGTAAACTAGTTGTGTTAGGGTTATGATCATAGTAGTGTGTAAACTAGTTGTGTTAGGGTTATGATCATACTAGTGTGTAAACTAGTTGTGTTAGGGTTATGATCATACTAGTGTGTAAATTAGTTGTGTTAGAGTTATGATCATACTAGTGTGTAAACTAGTTGTGTTAGGGTTATGATCATACTAGTGTGTAAACTAGTTGTGTTAGGGTTATGATCATACTAGTGTGTAGAGTTAGGGTTATGATCATAGTAGTGTGTAAACTAGTTGTGTTAGGGTTATGATCATACTAGTGTGTAAACTAGTTGTGTTAGGGTTATGATCATACTAGTGTGTAGAGTTAGAGTTATGATCATACTAGTGTGTAAACTAGTTGTGTTAGGGTTATGATCATACTAGTGTGTAAACTAGTTGTGTTAGAGTTATGATCATACTAGTGTGTAAACTAGTTGTGTTAGGGTTATGATCATACTAGTGTGTAAACTAGTTGTGTTAGGGTTATGATCATACTAGTGTGTAAACTAGTTGTGTATATAAACCTACACGGTGACCTGACAGTTTTAGGTTGAGCCGAACTTTCCGATACATCAGACCCCAACATGTAGCATGTACTGTCATTGTAGCTCTTTACAGCACCCACACACAATCTCCAGATGCCAAGGTGAATCTCAAGGTCACTTTTATTTATGTCACTTTGATTGTTTCCTGGTATTAAAAATGAAATGAAGCCATCTGAGTTTATTGATCGGATCAAATGTACGTCAAACTGCATGCCCTAACATATTTTATTTCCCTAACAGAAGTGATTCTATTTTTAGAGTTCAAACATGCGTCTTCCAAAATGGTATAGTTTGAGTTTTTGTATATAAATAGATAAAAATAACATTTGATTTGTGTATAGTCAAAGAACAGGGAAAATTAAAGTTTAAATTCTGAACACAGTCATGTCCCTCTAATAGATCGAATTGAGCGGTTTCAGAGGTCAAATTGAGCGGTTTCAGACGTCAAATCTGATATTTCTGAGATTCTGGTACCGACCGAGGGGGCTATGGCACCAGAGTTATCTCCTTACCAAAAGTTTGAGGTGCACCTAAGTCTTCTATCTAATTGAAGCGCTTTAAAAATATATAGTCCGCGGTCAGTCTATGTCAGTTTTCGGACACTTTAAATGCGATTATTGCGATGGCTCTAGTTTTTCCATTCGACTGAAGTTGAAAAATACATTTAAAACTTTCCTGCAAATACCCAGTGAAGAGCAGTGTGAGAGCCCTAACTTTGCTTTTAGTGATAAAAATAGATATAGATTAGATCTTTATAAATGGTTGGTTTCTATGTGTTATGTGAAAACTCATGACATAAATCACGGTTAAAATGCTGTGCTTATGTATGTGCATATGAGTGTGTAGATAATATGTATTTTTCTTACACTTATGAATGCCGCCCCCCCCCCCCGCCCAATTACTATATAGAACTGAAGATGTCCACGCTAACGAGACATACAACTCATGTTTAAAAAAAAAAATCTGCGGCACATACCTAAACGGGTGATGACACTCTTCGCATCTTGATGTAGAATTTGGAGAAAATAATCGTTAGCCATGGCGACAATATGCATGACGGTACCACATTGTAGCAAGGCAATGCCAAGACAGAGAGCTAAAATTAGATTTGGTTTTCCTGTCTTTACTACAGACAACATGGCTTAGATTTGGTCTCACAGAAAAGCTGTCCAATATCAGTCAACTGAAAAATAATTTTAGAAAATTGCAAAATACAAACTATCCTTAATATAGGCCTACATATTATCCCTAACTATAGAAATATTAAATAAGTGCTAGCTCATTTAAAAACAGTCCATGCTGGTTGATGGCTGTAGCAAGTTCAAACACTGAAGTAGTGCATCATTCATAACCATAATAGTACGTCATCACAACAGTACATCATGACAAGGGTGTATTACCAATCTACTTAATGGTGTAACATTACAATGAAACATTATCAACCTTCATTCACAATAAAAAAATCACTAAGCATTCCAGTTAAGTCAAATTTAATGTCAGATTGCATCGTCTTCGGGTCTTGACCCAAGTGTCCAGTTTGTAACGAATCGGTCAGTCAGAAGCGCTCAAAATTTCGCTCGGCAGTTTTATTTTATGACGGACGACAGAGGAAACAAGTTAAATAAAAGCTTGTAAAAATATTTGATGTAAGTGTTGGGTTTAAGGCTTGAATTTTTCTATTGTTATGGTCGATTTTTAGGTTAAAGTCAAATAGATACTTATCTTTCTATCTATATAGATCTTCTACTACTAAAACTCAAGTTTGTTTACATCTTTGTATTTTTTGTGTGTTTTTGTTTTGTTTGTTTGGTTACAGGAGAGAATCTGCACAATGTGTAGAACTGCAAAATACGTATTTAGGTAGAGAACAATGTTCTTTTTGACCTAACTGTTAATCACACATTTATTTAAAGACGTTAATTAATTTACTTATATATATATATATATATATATATATATATATATATATATATATATATATATATATATATATATATATATATTGGTAGATTATCCACTTTAATTATAAAAGTTCAGTAAAATGACTTTACTTGTAGTGACGTTACATGATTTATTTACTTTTTATAATAATAATGGCGGCATCCATATAACATTTTGGTGCCCATTTAAAAGTTCAACGCATAATAAAGCTAATTTTCTATTGGCTATAGCTTTAACGATACGTCCGTTTGCTATTTTCTATTAGGTTCCAACACTATTATCAAAGTATACAATAATTTTTCTAGATTTAGAGATCAGCTGTCGGATGAAGAGAAAGTCAATCATAGATCTAAAATCTAGAATCTAGGTCAAACCAAAATTAATTAGTTAAAAATAAAAACCATTATAAAATCACAATAAGTTGTTGAGTTTCTGTATAAAATTATGTTAGTCCTTAAATTTTGTATATAGGCTAAAATCTTTACTTTTTAGCTTCGGGGTTAGGGTTAATACTTAAGATCAAGATCTAGTTCTATCTAGATCTAGAATTAGTAGAATCTATGCCAATAATGATTTTCTATACTAAATTATTTCATGCTTTAATTATTTGATATAAATCTTTGTTTGTTTAGCTATGGAATTGACTACTTTGGGGTATAATTTAATTTGAAATAATAGGGCCTATTCGCGTAAATGAAGTTTCTTACTTTGCAGTTAATTATACGACCAAGACTGCGTTGAATTTTTAAGTGCCCACATAGCTGAGACGATAGTGTAATAGTCACCATGCCGGTGGTACGGGTTCAAGACCTATCACAACGACATTTTTTTCCCCATTTTAAAAAAAATATATGAATGATAAAGTTGCCTATCGGGACTTCGCGGGACACAGGGCAGGTGAAGTAGAGTTACCTGTTTCTTTGTCCTAAGCATATGAAGGGATAGTGTGGTCATAGCCAGGCTCGTCTGAAATCTTTTTTTAAACATGTTGTCTAAGACTAAGCGGGACACTGGGCAGGTGAAGTAGAATTGAGTAGGTTCGGAAAAATCTAGGCTTTGTAGTTCTGTCAGTATGTCTGTCTGTGTGTATGTGTGTACCGTTACAGCTGGGTTGATGAAATTTCATATATAAGTATTATATCAAATTTGTAGTTCTGTTTAATTTTTTTCAGCGATTTACGGTAACCAGAAGTGGAACTTATTCTACTTTCAATTTTTCAAAAACCTATAGCTTGAATACTGTTTCAGATAGATAAAAGAAATGTCACATGTAATTAAACGATCTAATTCTCTGCCTTCTTCAAATTTGGAGTCATTTCCGTTGAACGAAAGTACTAATTTACGCTATTCCCGATTTCTAAAAAAAAAAAACGAAAATGAGTTTATAGAGTACTAATAATATTTCGCACTATTATACACATATTGTTTTGCATTCACTTAGTGCGCAATTCTTTTTTTCTACGAGATTCTTTTCTATTTTAAAAAAGTTTTTAAGCAATTAAAAATTGATTAAAAACCATGTCTATATCCCTAACCCATCTCCCGTTGTGTTATATAAGAATATTCGTGAAAGTTTAGTGGAGATCACTCCCGGTTTATTTTAATTAAAATCCGAACATACTACCCCGTTCAGGTGTTTAAGTTAAAAAAAGAAATACAATTTGCGTTAATTATACATGTTGGTGTAGTTATTTGAGTTAATATGCGTTATAGCTAAGGGTAAAGCTAGCGTAAGAAAGGGATAGGGGCCCACGGCATTTAAGGGCCCCTTTTCCCTCTTTAAAAAAAGTAAAACTTTTGCATTGAAATTTTAATATTCGTTTAATATAAATAATTTTAAAAAGAAAATGAAATTCAATTTATTCTCTATTGTAGAAATGATAGTTCCAAAAAAGGCCCCCAGTCTTTTCTTACTTTAATGGGATTCAATGGGGGGGGGGGGGGGGTCGAACAGGGCCCAACCGTAATCATATTACTACAGGCGTTGCCGCATGGTCGTGCAAGCCATTGCGAGAATTAGCCTATAAATAAACTTGAACTTCGACTATTTTGTAAGATCGGCATCCAGCACCATGCATCGCTACAAACCTCAACTGACTGAGAAATTCCCTACCCCATCCCACAGACCTGCACCACTCTCCCAACTGTCTGCCCTCCCCGAAATTCCATCTTTCTAAACATCCATGATGACAACTGAGACATCTAAAACAAAATAACCTTGGACAGTGTTTTCACAACCAGCTGAGTCCAACATTTGTCAGTGTTTTTCTTTACCCTAATAACTTTTCATTTGTTGATCTAATTAATCTTTAATCAATCTTTAATCAATATGGCGCTACTAACACTATAAGTTTTTGATTTTCATCCAATCGCCAAGAAAATTTGGGAAGTCGTTGATATTATACCAAAGGAAACGTTTTTTCCCAGACATTTTTCCTGAAAATGTACCTGAAAGAAACTCTGACTTTTGGGAAGGTTTCTGTCATTAAATTATTATGTTATTTCTGAGGGCGGTTCCCCGGCAGTAAGGCGGTGCTGTGTGCAACCCAGAGTTTCCCAGCGGCTATCTTTGCACCCACCTGGGGTCTGTTTATTGGGTGTCTTGCGCAGCGGGTAAGCTTTACTTCTTGATTCAGTGGTCAAATTGCAGCCGGCACCTCGGCGGTTTTGTAACCCGGTGCACCTCGGGGTCCCCCATAAGCACTACGCGCCTATATTCGTTTTAATGAGCGCCATACACTAGGGATACGTTGGGATCTTAAAGTCAAATACTAAATCGAATAAGGAGTGTCCTCCAGGGCATCAGCTGTAGTAACGGTTTGGCGCCCGAGTTACCCATAGGCTACATGAGTGCACGAAATCCGTTGATTGGGCGTCCTGCAGAGTCTTGATTCAGCGGTCAAACTCCAACAGGGGCGGCTTTCTACGCCAATCACACGAGTATTCTACAATAGGACAGGGTGGGCCTCTACATTCGACGACTAAACAGAACCAGAGGTTGTATCCGGCTACCTACGGTGGTGTAACCAGTCACTCCCCCGAAGAACTTGAGACCTAGGTGGCCGCCGAAAAGTATTAAACCTCACTATTAAGGATGATGATTAATATACACTTAATACAGCACAGCCAAGGGTGTCTAAGCGGTAGTGTGGACAAACCCTAGCCCCCTCAACAAAGATCCGAAAAAAAAACCCAGTGTTGTTTACATTTTAACTAGACCTATCTCACTTTAAGGAAACAAGGTCACACGACTAAAAATACACAATTGATAGTGCGTTGATGAAACCCTTACAAATTGTTTTGTTACCATAGTATGTAGGACTAGATCGCAGCAACGCGGACGGGTACGCTAGCTACTATAAGCATTCTTTAACATTTTACGGTGATCGTGAAGGAGATTTCGATGTCTTTGATGGAATTCTTAAATCTCATTATTTGTAGATATGCCCATTGGGCCAGTAGCGTGGCCATCCTAATAATCGAACATTCAGACGCAGCTCAAGTAGATCTCAATGAACTTATTTATCATTTTACAAAATTAAAAGCAGGCAAAAACACAGATCTAAATAAACCAAGAGCAATTTAAAACAAAAAAGTGTATTTGGTTAGTAGCGTCACAAGTTTAGGTGTTACCCTACGTGTTTACTAAAGGTGTCCCCCCATCATCCCCAACAATTTAGCATTTTCGTTGGGGTGTCACCTCTCTCTCACTAATCTTTTATTATTTTAGCTAGATACAACTTAGTTTGACAGTAAATTGTACAATATTTTGTCATGGTGTCAAGCCTAAATGTTGACATCCGATGCGGACCGCACCTCTGACCCCGCCTTAAGACATTACTCTGTTTACTTAAAAAAAACAAATTAACTGTAAGACTAACATTTAAAAAAAAACTACATAATAGTATAGTATAAATACACAATCAGGATGTATAAGGTATAAAGTGTAGGCTTAATGAATATTTATATTATTTAAAATCCTTCTTCTTAAAGTAGCAGTTGATTTCTTCGTTTAACTCCATTGTAACATGACGGCTGTCGAAAGGGGGCCCAATGATAATTTTTGCATAGGGGCCCGAAAATCCTAGCTACGCCACTGCCCCTTACCCTTTTATTATTGAACTTAGTAGGCCTAGTCTTTCAATTAAATTTTAATGACTAATATAATCTCTGATTAGGTATACATTACATATTATTATATAGTCATCGAAGCAACAATTAAAACTTATAAATATCAACCTCTGTCGTTGTCCTATATAGGACTATATATATATATATATATATATATATATATATATATATATATATATATATATATATATATATATATATATATATATATATATATATATATATATATATATGGGTTCGTCCATAAATGACGTCACACTCACAGGGGGGAGGGGGGGTCCGTAATTTTGAGACGATGTGTGATGAGGGGGGGGGGGGGTTCAGATGGTGCGACGTCACAATTGTGCATTATAAAAAAGCAATGTTTTCGCATTTTAGAAAACTGATTTAATAAATTGCAATGGGAATTGATTAAAATACTCTATTTTGACAGAGTTCAGACAAGATGAAATATCGATGTTTAAAGAAAAATTCAACTACAATTTTGATAGGATTTGTAGGCTGGGGTGTGACGTCATTTTAGGGGGGGGGGGGGGTCTGGCTTTTTGTGACGATGTGTGACGGAGTGGAGGGGGAGGTAAAAATCGTCAAAAAAGCGTGACGTCATTTATGGATGACCCCTATATATATATATATATATATATATATATATATATATATATATATATATATATATATATATATATATATATATATATATATATATAGCCTATATAGACCTAGATATAACGTAGACTGAACCTTAAATTCGCAAAATACCCACCTTAAAACATTTTCATAATCCAAATTGGTTTTCAAATAATTAAGTGAAAATTTAGCTGGTATAAAACAATTATTTACCTGTAAGAAATGATAGCTTGTGAAAACTAAACAGGTGTTCTTTTGACCTTTAAGCAACTATCGTACACATAACACACTCTTCTCGCTAGTGGGCGCTTTACAGCCTCAGTGAACTGTGCTTTAAAGCCTCAGTCACCCGTGGCAGCACACAAGCTGGGAACCTTGCATTCTTTGGTCACGAAATACTTTTGTAACGGTCGTACGCTAGACTGTCGAAATACTTTTGTAACGGTCGTACGCTAGACTGTCGAAATACTTTTGTAACGGATATAAATGGTTATGCAGAAAGATTTTGTAACGGCTATAAATTGGCTGTTGAAATAATTTGTAATGTCAATGCGTAAAAAATATCGCAGGGCTCTTGTAGGAGCCAACGGTAGAAATATAACAGTGCCCTGTTTCGGTATTATAGTAGACTAGCCGTGCCGGCCAGGCCGTGCACTAGCCACTGTAAAAAATTTATCTATAAAAGACCACGACCTGTGTGTTTATTAAGCAGCATATACCCGGCATTGCCCGGGTTTACGAAATATATAGTTTTCGAATTAGCTCTAACCGCAACCAAACAAAACAAAAAAAAAACATTAAAAAAACGCAAACATAACAGAAACGCAAACAGAAATACAAACCCAACCACAAACGCAAACCCAAACTCAAAGAAAACACAAACACAAACAAGACAAACACAAATAGAAACGCAAACAATAACTCAAAATAATGCAAAAGTAAACGCGAACATAAACACAAACCTAAATGCAAACATAAACGCAAACTGCTCACAGTCTAGCCAGCCCGGGACGCCAAATCTCTCGGCAGATGTTCTTGGGCGAGGTGGAGGGGGGGGGGGGAGCGGTGGCTCTGCCCCTCTACCCAAAGAGATGCCTGAAAGAAACTCTGCACGCAAACCCCTTTTAAGATTAGAGAAATAAATGAGGTGGTATTGTTAGTGTCTTTATTATCAAGTATCGATGACGTCATTATTATTGTTTTTTTTTTGGGGCAATGGCTTTTTAATTGTATGTTTACCCTAGAATAAATGACGTCATATTATTGTGTGTACTTTTCCGGCTTTAGAATATTTCCTATATGTACCATGTGACGTCACGTTTCGTTTTCCGTTTGACTGTGGAAGTTTTTATTTTGCTTTTGCTTTCTATATAGCGTTCTTTTTCTTAAAACCAAAACCAAAATCACCACCTCAACTTCAAGTTTAACTGGAAACGAATTTGAACACGGATTTTCATCCAGAACCGGCAATTAGCTACTGCACATCCGTACTTAATATATGGTCGTAGTCATACCGCTTAACCTTAATCCTAGGCTCAAACTTGACAAAGCTGCATTTCGAGTTTCTTATAGGCAACTCCTCGGTGGGAGGGGGGGGGGGGGGGGGGCAGAGCCCCCGAAGAAAGTTTACCGCCACCTTTAACGACATATCATTTATATAGAAAACATACTTTTACCAGTGTCCGCCACCTTTAACGACATACAATTTATTTAGAAAACATACCTTTACCAGTGTCCGCCCCCTTTAACGACATACAATTTATTTAGAAAACATACTTTTACCAGTGTCCGCCACCTTAAACGACATACAATTTATATAGAAAACATACTTTTACCAGTGTCCGCCACCTTTAACGACATATCATTTATATAGAAAACATACTTTTACCAGTGTCCGCCCCCTTTAACGACATACAATTTACATAGAAGACATACTTTTACCAGTGTACGCCACCTTCCTCGGAAAATTCGGCCCCGACGTAAGAGCCCGGTGAAATCGACCCCGTCAAAAGTAACAGCGACGTATGGGCCCCGTGGGGTCGGCGTGTTTGAGTCGGTACAGCCACTCTTCTAGGAGAGACAACTCCAAAATCAAATAACTGCTGCCTTGTAGTTTGTTCTTGGTTGGACAAAGGCTATGGAAGCAAATCCAAAAAGAAAAGCAGGCTGAAATCGGAGTCAATGGCCTCAATGGCGCAAAACCGGTTGACACGTATACTTAATTGTGATGGAGGCGTGGTCGAGTCGGCAAAGCTCATGGTTGATAAATTCGAAAAAAGTCTCTTGTTCGGCAGGCCTTATTTATTTTTATAATAGTTTATCTATATCAGGGGTCTCCAAACTACGGCCCGCGGGCCGGATGCGGCCCGCGAGGTCCTCTCATCCGGCCCGCGGAGATCATTTTGTCCACGGAAAAAACGTTTGTTGGTGCTGGCTGAGGAACTTTGCCCAGAAAAATCAAAGACATGCCCGGAAGAAACTGGCCCCCGAACTGAAATTTGATAGTTAATGTGGCCCTCGGACTGAAAAGTTTGGAGACCCCTGATCTATATTAAGAAATAGCATGCTTTAATTTAAGGGTCATCTATGACTTCCATAAATGAGTCGGTTACAGGCTGTTCCAACTCATTGTGTGGGGAGAGGGGTCCACACTGTACATTCCTACCTGCAGTAGGGAGAGGGGTCCACGCAGAGCCGGCGTTAGGGGTTCGCGGGGCCTATGGCCAACCATCCGCGCGGGGCCCTATATTTTTCCATTGGTGTCTAAAACATGTACAGTGAGGCGTTTTCTTCTTCTTCTCAACGCGAATTAATATTTATAACGATATATATGGTATTTTTAAGCTGCTTATCAATGTCGTATATTAGTTTTAACATAAAGACACTGATTAAAAACTAATTTGTTTACTTAGAAGTGCTTTTGAAAAATTGCTTGTTTCTGTTAAAGCTTTTTGTTTGAAAAATAAAAAAATAAAACAGATATAATTTCGAGACACGTATTAAAGAGAAGATGAACGTCATCTTCATACTTGATTTTTTACATTAATGTTTATTTATGAAAATCTTACCAGTACGTTCACAGAATCGATAGGCCGCAGAAACTGTCTTGAGACATCGTTGATACATGTTCCCAATTTCCCGGATCGTATATATCTTTTACGATCATTGGGAATGAATTATTTTCGTCAGAATTATTTTCAGAATGTCCGCTTGATTTGTCCCTATTGTCGAAGTTCGTGGGGTTTGCAGCTGATAATTAATGACTCGAGGATTCATTATTACCGTCATCACCACAAATGGTAGTACTCTCATTGTAGTCCTTTTTATTACGTTCTACATTTGCGACATTGGAATCCTCAACCAAATCAAAAAGTTTTTGTTGTTTAACGACTTTCTTTGGATAGTGTATGTGCTTGTCCAACGCGCCTGCTTGTGTTTTATCAAATTCTTCTCTTAAATTGCGTTTCCTCGGTTTTGATGCACCTAATTCATACTTGCGAAATCTATCTGTCTCTTGTAGCCATGGTGTTAAGGAAAAATAGTGTAATCACTTTAAAGCAACGCTAAGGCGGTCCACAGTGGCGGGTGATAGTAGTAATAGTATCGATATTTTCTCAATTTATCGAATGTTAACAGTGGCATTCAAAGTGTGTGGATGCCGGGTAAATAGAAAAATATTGATAGATTTCGGAATAAGCTCGAATCGTGAAAAACACTGTTTACGGCTATAGATATCCAAATGAAATGACTCTCAAATGTAATCACGGACGCTCAGTGGGGTGGAACACTGGGGTGGGTGACAGTTGGTGGGGTGAGGTAAAGGATAACTGTACATTTAAATCTATGGGATGCCAAACCCTTAAAAATATCAGTTCGGGTACTACGTAACTGGATCTCTGACCGCAGCCATTCAAGAGAAAGTGCGTCTTTATAGAGCGTCCACGTATTACATTACAAGTTAAGACCGCGTTCTTACAAGAGAAGATTCGTGTCTATAATTAAAAAGTGAACCATGTGACAGCCAGCTTCACCTTATTTAGGAGTTTCGCGATGGCATGCTCGGACTGCCGGTAATTTAGACGTTTGAGAAATCAGGAATCACTATGGTCTTAACTATTATACTGAATATCCCTACAATTACAATTAATTAAAATAAACATGTGCTTAATCACTCTACGAATACCGTTAAAGTTTATGGACATAATTACTGTATAAATGCCCTTCAAAAATATAAAAATAAATACAAGTATAATGTATTTAAAGATGACCTAACAATATATAAAATGAATATGAACATAATTACTGTATGGATGCCTATCAAACGTATCGTGGTGAATAATCAAAATTACATAAAAGATGCCAATACAGTGTATAATTTATGATTTTAGGGATTAATACTCTGGATGTACGGGGCATGTCCCCATCCGCTCCCCCCCCCCTCCTCCTCTGCAAGCCATCATCAGGTCACTGACTGTTTACTACAGGCACCTCCGCCTGCTCACTAAAAAAAAGTGTCTTCAACGGTCCGCATACAATAGGGTATCTCTTTACGTGTACCTCCCATGTTAGGTCGGGGGCTAATTCGCGACCGCCATCTCCAGTCACCTAAGGACAATATCAAGTCGACCGTGCCAGCGATGTGTGGCACTAATGTCTTTCTTTAGAATAACAGTCTGTCCCAGTACATGCAGAGGATAACTCACTAACATCACCCGTGGCGTCAGTTTTAACATACAACAACTTCGGCCATTTAGTTGTTTTATTTTAAATTTAAGTATCAGCAAAGGTTATTAGACAACAATGTCGGTGCTGAAGCGCGGGGCCCCTTCACGCGCGGGGCCTGTGGCGACCGCCCCGTTTGCCACCCCCTAACGCCGGCTCTGTCCACGCTGTACATTCCTACCTGTAGTATGCTCGTAGGATATCAAAATAAAATGCCGTTATCCTGTAAAAATCATGTATGTCATACATTTACGCTTCTGTGCTCGCTTTTAAGCAACAGATCTTTACTGCTGTAAATTAAATATCATTACAAGTGTAACCCTCACTCAGTGGGGATGCTTTTACCCACTGAGGTGTTGTGGTTAAGACGGGCTGACCCTGAGATTAAGAACACACTAACACCGACAGTTGTTGTCAAGTACTCCTTTATTCACAGCATCGAGCCATGACGGCGATGCATAACCCAGTAGTACGACGAGAGAAAATACTGAAGACAGACCAAAAAAAAAAAAAAAATTGTAGCCCTAAAACAAATGTAAAGGAAAAGTTACATTCATGACAACACCACG